TTTTTTATTCTTCTGTGACTTTCTATACTTACTCAAAGACTTCATTCTTAATGTATCCTATTATTGGGATTTGTTTGTCATTAAGTGCCGCTTGAAATATAAGATGAGACAAATAATTTGCCTATGGAAAATGTGATTTATAGACAGAGGTCTTGTTATGGCCAACACTGTGTTCTGATTACAGATTAATGAAATTGAAGTTAGCCTTTGATTTTAGATAACCAGTTATATTTCACTGCATTCCCCATGAATAAAAAAGAGCAATAAAAGCTACCTTTGTCCATAGTTATGCTTTTGTTTAACTTGTTTCATACTGTCTCTAATGTTTTACTGTTTTAAGTTACTGTGAAATTATAGTTTTAAAATAGCAGAATGAGAAGGGAATTCCAAGGCACAGGCAAGGGAGAAAACATATGTTTGTGGTGGGATTTTAAAATGAGATGGTGAGATAAAGCAAAGAAGTACAGGAAGGCTATTCCAGATGTTGTGCTGCAGTGAAGGTCCTCAAACTAACAATAGTGAGATTGTATGAAATAATCTAGAAAAGGATTCAGAGTTTTCTTTCATAGTTATATTACAAAAACTCCATAACCTTTCTTGTTTTTTTTAAACCAAGTTTTTTAAATGTTATATATCACAGATGTTTTGCCTCTTTCTATATTTTTGAGATTGTTTCTCATCTAAATTAAGAACTTTAACCAATTATAAATATTGTAATTTGGATATCAGAAGTGGATGGACTTGAATTTCTAATTCCAGAAATTATGGTAATGGGTCATGGTTTGTAATGGACCTATAAGAGTTGATTTACTTCTATTTTATACCCACCCATTATGATAGTTTTCTTACAAAATCAAAATGCTAACAACCCTTTGAATTGTTACAGAATTTATTTAAATTCTTCAGTATGATTACCTTGCAGTTTTTGTGTATATCCAATAATTGATGAGATCCTTAAATTTCACCTTTTGCAATCATTCATCATGCTCATTTCTGCCTTTAAAGTCTTATAGGCATTTGAGCTCTTACAAACTAGAATAAGAATGAAATTCTAGGATACTGAACAAAACTTATACCTAATTATATTTGTGCTTTTCCCTTTCCTTATTTCTTTTACTTTTTTACTTCTTCACTCTTCTCTGCTCCCAACTCCCACTCCTGTGGGTTCACATACTTGTAAATAATGATCTAATAATAAGAGCTAACATATATAAATCACTTTAAGATTTGTAAACCATTTTATATATGCTGTCTCATTTTTTGCTCACCACAGCCCTGGGTCAAAAAATTATATGCTACATGTATGTAGTAAATTCATTCAACAAACATTTATTAAATACCTGTTATGTGCCTCATGAGCGTGCCTTGTTATTGGTGTATGGTATTTCCAGAAACTCCTGGGATTTTCTTAGTAAATTTCAATATAGTCAATATCGTCTTTTTACCTCTTTAAATAATATTGCAATCAAATACACTCAGATACAGAAGTTTCTGAAGTGTAGGTGTTGGTATAGCAGTTTAAATCTCCATTCATTCAGACATGTGCTGACTGAATGAATTATTGCCAGTTTTCCCCCAGTAGTTTTCTTCTGTATGTTTTCACTCACATCCTTGCCTGATTCTGTTTAGTAACATCAGTAATTCTGATGTTAAACTATTAATTAGCTCTGTGACCTTAGGGAAATCCTTTCATTTCTAAACCTCAGTTTCTTCATCTTCAGGTGAGAATAAAACCTACCTAATCTGATCCCACAAAATTCTTATGAAGATTTAAGATGTGAAAATATTTTTAAAGTACAATTACAAATTTGTAGTAGTTTATGTCTTAGGTAGAGGTATCAAATTTGGGGGTCCACTCTGTGACATAAGCAAAATTCTCCAGTGTAGCCAGAACCAGATTAAAATGTAACTGGGCACTACGATCTATATGAGTTTGACACCACTGTCTTAAATTATTGGAAGTTAATATAGTGGATGATTTTCCTTTGTACACTAATAACAGTAACAACAATGAGAAAAGAAGTTTTTTTGCAGAGCACTTGTTTTGTTTATGTATTTTCTGGTGTTTTGGTCAAATGAGAAAGTTGGACTAGATGATCTTCAAGGTACCTTCCAGCTGTAAATCTGGTCCTATGAGGCTTACAGTCTTGTGAATATTAAGTAGTTCTTTTGTATTAGAGTGCTGTGAGGAAATTTTTTAAGCCATGTTGGATAAAAAGGGGAAATTATTTTGCCAAATGAATTCAGCTCAGAGGCATTCAGAATTTTCATTCTGTCCACAACTTCATGTGACCTGAGATACATTATATAAACTTTTCTTTATTTCCTTGTCTCTATCTATAAAAAAAATCAAGGAGAAAGATATAGAATGCCCTAATTTAAGACACTTTTCAATCTCAGAGATCTATTAAAATGCAAATTGTTACTGTTAATACTATATACTGTATGGACAGAGATTACACATTCCAAGGAGGGGACAATCAGCTTACCTAGGAAGACGTTTGCTCTATAAAAGTATCCTTGGTGATTAAAGATGCTCAAATTACCCTTACAGTTGTCTGAATACCTGGAGTAATTTCATTTCTTCAGCTTTGGCCCTTCCTTTAATTTAAACGAAGTTTAAGTTTAAAGAAATTTTTTTTGCTCAAGTGGCCAAAAAAACCCCAAAACCAAACAAAAATAACATAGCACTTCATTAAGAAACATTCTTATTGTTCTGAAATTTAAACAAAAATGTTTAATTTCAGAACAGTAAGAAAGGACTTAACTCACTTTCTAAGGGAAAGAAACCAAGAGCAAATGAAATCACCTTACCATTGAGACTTAGTCCTAGAAGGTACATATTCGTAGAGAGGGCTAAGAAAGATGTTTGCAGAGATCAGCTGAAACATAGTTACATCAGAATACACATCAATATATCATGCTTTTGGCTGGCTCACCTTTTCTTCTTTGAATATATTATTGTAGTGGTTTCTGTAAACTAATCTTGAATATAACCTTCGATCATCTGTCTAATAAGATGATTCATGCTGTGAGATGAAACATCATAGTTTAGGTTCTAAAATTGCGTTTTAAAAAATGGGAGTATTTAATCCTCCCTTTTGTGGATTAATTTCTACTCTATTACTGTTTGCAGTTTATTTCAGGTATTGCAGATTATCTGTATATAGCAGTAAACCTTGAATTGAAGATTTTAAGAATCCTTTTAGCTGGATAAGGAAAAATTTATGTAAGCATTTATTGAAAATGACAGCGATAGATTATTCTCCTAATAAATGTGATATGTAATGATAATTGGAGATGCCTATATGGAGTTTGTGTAGTTCCTGTGGCCACACAGCTGGTTTGGCTGCTGGGGGTTGGAGTGAGAGAGGGAGGGAGTGCTACTTTATAAGACCAAGTGTTTGGGCTAAATAAGTATCACTGTTAAGGAGAGATAATGGTAATAACAGGGCTTTTTTTCCTTTCCGCCACAGACTCAGCCTTGGATTAGCACTGAGGGTAGGTCTAGAGCCCAGGCAACAATGGGTTCTGCATTGTTGAGGAGGAAAAAGGGTAGACATTCCAATGTTGGCAGGTGTGAAAGGGGGATAAAGGCCATGTAGTTCCTCAGTCTTCCTAGCTAAATCTGAGGTGCTTAGGTAGCCATTTTTATGTAAGCTTAGCATGTGTAAGTTGAAGTCTGCCTTAACCAGTTTTTACAGTAGAAATATACATATTATTGCTAACAGATTTATCCCTTATTAATCTCTCTTTCGAACCCTTGCCATGACTTGTCATTATAGGTACATGTCAACATATGTTGTATACACATGCACACACTCAGACACACATACATACACATATATATGCACACACATATTTTATCATGTTGTATAATATATTGACACATTTTTAATCAGAATAACAGCAACAGAGTGGCAAAGCCTTTTCAGGGATAGGTTAACCATTATCCTGATAGAATTGTAAAGATCAAGTTTTATGTAAATTAGTTAAAAGGCAAAGACTTTTCTCTGAGGACATTGTTCATTCACAAAAACTGCATTTTAGATTTACATTGTAAACAAATGCAGTTTCATCTAAACTAGCACGATTTTAAAAATCATTAAGAAGCATTTTATATAAGATTGCTTAAATAATAAAATGGCCAAGAAGTCTATGAGGTATCTCCATTCCTTCATAAGGAAGATTTTTTATTTTGCCAATATAAAGGTTATATTATTTTACTGAAAAGCTTTTTCTGTGTTCCGCTTAAGAAGTTGCTGAAAATGATTGAATGAAAATACTTTAATTAAGCATTTACCATGCACCAGGCACTAAGCTAAACATTGAGGATACAGAAATAAAAGAGCTTCTTCTCTCAAGATGATTACATTCTAATGGGGGACTAAACATGTACTAGGAAATGGTGGCTAAGGAAGTGTGTTTTGGTCTGGAAGCTATAGGGATGGTGAGTGAAGTTACAGAATAGTGAGTTTTTTCACCCATTTCAGAAACAGTGATAGTGTTCATTTGATTACTATTCCCTAAGCCCAAATTGAAAAGCATGGGTGATGGGAGGAAGGTTGCTCTTGGTTATAACACATAGTGGCATGGTCAGATGATCACCATGTTGAAGCATGGTTGGGAGTTCTGGATCCAGCTAGATATAATGAACCCACTTCATCAATTAGAGCAGCATAGCTCCAACACTGAAGTTCTAGGAGCAGCAGTAGAAAATACATATATTCATGTTTGTGTCATGTGAGTGGGTGGGTGTGGGTGTGTGAAAGAGAGAGATTTGGGTGGGGTTTGGAAATGGAAAGAAATTGGTCATAAGATTTTTAGGTAACCACTAGGCGGTTATGCTTTTGCCTGTGTCTGGTTAGTTGATCAATAATAGAAAAATAGACAGTGTAAAAGTCATTAGAAAAGCAGTTCCTCATTAGATAAGCCAAAAATGCCACCTTAAATCTTGAAATTTTAGCTTTATAACTGTTTTTTTCTAATTTTCTTTTTAGGGCAGCCCAGAAACTTGCAGGACCTGTGCCGAATTAAAATTCGCCAATGTATAGGCCTTCAAAACCTAAAACTACTTGATGAACTACCAATTGCCAAGGTCATGAAAGACTACTTAAAACACAAATTTGATGATATCTGATATCAGTGGGACATCATGAGCAAGATTAGGAGATATATACCAGATACTTAAAAGGCTTGTTGCCTTGCACAAAGTATATCCTATGCAATTTCTGATTTGCTGTGAAGTCAGAAGGCAGGTATACACTTCGGGTTTTTTGTTTGTTTTTCACTGTAGGGGAGGGATTTTTTTTTTTACCACATGCTAGAAGGTCTTAATTTTGGTTTCTTGGTCCAAGTTTAAAAGGTCCAAGCTTTCTATACAATATTGCATTTAGAAAATTGTTGTGTTTGTTGTTATTGTTGTTGGGTTTTTTTTTGTTTTTTTTTTTAATGAAGCGTGCAGGTTTGGAATAGAGAATTTACCCTTTTCAGAATGTTTATGGTTTCCATTGGCACGCATGGTATTGTAAACCAGCTGAGCAGTTATTAAGCTGAGTGAGGTTTGGAGGTATAGTTTTATCTGGGGGGGTCCAGGGATATGCTGGAAAATGCCATAAGAAATTTTAAAATAAATACAGTCACCCCATTCCATTTTAATGAATACAAATTGGCTGTTTTATACAGTTCTTTTCCTAATTGCTATAGCTAAGATACCATAAATCTAGTACCTCGGCTTTTCTGTTAGTGTGCTCGTGTTTTTAACTTTGTTTTTTAATAACAGTAGTACACTACACAGAGACATTGTGTCTCACTTTCTCTTTGTCTCTAGTTGAATATGTTCTTTAAAAAAAGTTAATGGGAAAGAAAATAACTTTATAAAGCTAATCTATTCTGTTTCTAAAACAGTGCCTCCGGTGCAATAACCTTTCTGGTGTATTTTTTACATTGTTTTATTTAATGTTCATCATTCCATAGCCAGCTTAGATATGTCCATGAAAGTAGGAACTGACTGCCACTTTAATTTTTTATTGCCATACCATAATACATTGATTGAAGTTTTGATTTTAACATCTTTCCTGGATACATACTTTTACTTCACTCCAAGCATAGATTTCACACTCATGTTGGTAGGTCTCTTTAAAAATGTAGTCCAAAATTTGATGAAAACATTTTGCTTCAATACAGTTAAATAATTTGGTATAGTTTCAATTTTTTTTTCTGATTAAATTGTAATAAAATGTCTGTGGGGTACATATTTAGTAAATCCACGTAATTCATAATACAATAACAAAATTTACTCTATATTTTGAAAATTATTATACTGAATGGTTTTATTTTCTAAGTTGACCGGGCACATATTTGCACTGTAAACATAAGACATGATGAAGTGTCTTAGTAATTGACAAGATTTCTGGGACCCATAAAGATCTGAGATGATGCCCTTGGAAATGTTTTCTGCACATGCTTTGGCATCATATTAGCTTCAGGATGTCATCGTTCTTAATGTTTTTGTAGACTTTTCACAGTTTTAGGTACTGGTAATGAGTTTGTTATCAGAAACTTAGGTGCTGAAGCAGTTATTATTTTCTGTATTGCTAGTTTCAGATCAGAAAATGTGAGGGAAATGGTTTAACCGAAAAATGTAGCTAAATTCAGAATTAGGCCTCCACTTTGGCTTTATCTCTCTAGAGCCAGAAGTAGTAGCTTAAGCACAAAGCTTAATGGTAGTGTGAATGCACAATATCCAGTGGCAGTGAGGATTATCTTACTGTGTTGTGCCTAGGCAGTGAGCAGGTTTTCAAAAATGGAGACCTATAGAAAGAAGAGATAGATAATATGATTCATAAAGCTTTTCAATTTCAGGATACCAGTTAAAAAGTGGCCTAATTCAGTAATGACTGAAGAGTTATTATCACTTGGGCATAGTGGGATTTGAATTGGTCTGTGCTTTTCATAGTAAAAAAGTTATATGCCTCCCAAAAATGGTCTCCAAAGAGAGGTCACATACTTAATAAAGGGGGAGTCTGAAATTAACTGCCTTCTCATTCCATTAGGTGATTCCCAGGACAGGGATTAATAATGGTCAAAGAGGGACACTTGAATTGTCTGAGTCCACCTGGTTCCTCTCCATGTATGTCACAGTGTCTAGTCCTATAATCTGAGGAAATTGCAGCACCTGGGTATGATGAGGTGAGGGTAGGATGGCATGGGAGCCTTGCACTCTTTAATTTCTTGTCATTCCAGAGCAGTAATGTTAGTTATCTTAAACATAAGATTATTCCCCCATAATTGTTAATTTATTAATTTAGTTTAAAATTTTTCTTCCCCCATTTTGATTCAAAAGTGTTACATCAGTATTTTCTAAGCTGATTTAGCCACTGAGTTTTAGTCAGGGAGTTCCAGATAAACAAATCAGATTAAGGTAAATTCTTTGTTCTGTGTTGCTGCTGTGACTTCAGAAAAATTATGAGATCTTCCTGAAAATGAAATTTCTATTTAATGAAGAATTGTATAATTCCATTATTTATTTGAAATTTGATTATTCTGGTAACTTAAAAAGAACACTTTATTTTGTTGTTGTTAACAAAATCCCAATCATATATCACATTTAACAATATCTAAAATTTATCTAGGTAATTGGTCAAATTTATTGATTAAAATGCTAGTCTGTATTTTAATTTGATTTACATGGAGCCATTCTGTTGTCACAATTTGGATAGAAAGAACAAGGACTTTTAGAAAACAAACTGATTTGATTATACCAGAAAATCTTGACTACAAAAAGTTGAGGCCATATTATAATTTTCATTGATACTCATAGTTTTCTTTTAAACTACTTTATTTAACTTATTACTAAACCTTTAAAAAATATATTTGGCAAATACACCAAAGACGCAGGCGAGTAAAAGATTATGATCATTAATGAACTGCAAACCTCATCCTTTAAAACTAAGCAGAGTGTTTTGTAAATATTTGTGTTTATAAATGTACAGCAGAGTAAGAGTGTTTTTTAGATTATTTAATTCCCATATTTCTAAACTATTTACTACGTTATAGTCCATATTCGTTAGTTTGAAAGGCTTTTGACTGTTTTGGTTTTTAATTCATTATCACTCATGCTTGGAACAGCACTTCAGCTAAAGAATGTAGTGTTCTGGCTGGAGTTGGCAGTAGCAGAAGTGCACATCTGGACAAAGAGGAGCATGATTCATTTCTCATACACACCCTGAAAGAGAAGAGAATGTGTAGTTTGATTACCAGAGTGGACCATGAGGAAATTGAAATTCTAACTTTTCTGCAAAGTTGCTCACTAGCCCAAAATGTGATTGGGATAAGAACAACTTCCAATTTGCCCACAAATTTAGCTTCCATGTAACTCCTTGTGTGTTATATCATAATGTATTTTGTTCTTCCTTTGTAATGTAAGTTTTGTTTGGGTCAATTTGAATTTAAAAAAAAAAACCTAAACCTGGTTTAAAAAATATTGGAGCCTTGTCCTATTTATTTCTAGTTTGTTTTAACTTTTTTATTTGCAGCCGTTTTATGAAGAAAAAAGTGAACCACTTTTCGTGTATCAGCATTTTGACTGAGCAGGAATATTGTAAGACCATGATATTAGGAACTACTGCTAATGTAGATAAAGTCATCAAATATTAATGTCTTGTTCAAGTGAACTTCATCATCTAGCCGTGACTCTCTAAACCAGAAATATGTAATCTCCAAAAGTCAAAATATATTCATCTACTTATACAAAAGATGACACAGCACCAAACTTTTGGGGGAAAATTCAACCACTGGTTTTGTATGTACCATACAGAAAAGGATAAGGTTTGGCTCACACATTGCTTAACATACAAAAAGGTATATTGAAACAAGTTAATTAGTTTGAGGTAGTTTAATAGATCTCAAAGAGAAGGAAGCAAAATGGCTCTTTGAACTCACAAACCACATAGCCAGATTAATGTAGAGGAGGGAGGTAGTTGAAACTCTAGCCATTGATTCATCATGTCCTTGAAAAGGAAATTCTATATAGTATATCAGCTTAAAAAATAAAAAACACCCTCATGCAAACCTACTCAATGCCTGGCTTATTGAAGGCCATGAATGTGTATTTGAAACTAAGTCTGATGAAGAACAACAGGTGGGTCAAATTTGGAAAATTACTGAGTTGTTTGGAAGTCTAATTTCAGTCCTATTCATGTGTTATGTAAGAACCCCATTTGTTTTTTCAGCTGAAAGATGGTTTATAAAAATGGTTTGACAGCTGTTGACTTAAGAGATTATCTGTTTGATAAAAACATTTGCAAGTCCCATACAGTTGGGTGTTGAAGATGAAATTAAATGCAACTCTACCTTGTTTGGTTAAACTCAGTATATAGAAGATGTTCTTGGGTTACTTGAGTATAAGGAAAGAAGTTGTATAGTTTTAAAATGATTTTCATTAATTTAAGTACTAGTAAAGATTTTAAATTCTTACATTCAGAAATTTTGAGTTTCAAGGCTAAGTGGTAGATATGGAGACCTGAAAAATAGTAATTAACTTTCCTTTATCACTCATCTAATTTTGTGCTAAGGATAGCTTGAGATTTTTTTATAAATTATATGTATTTACCAGAAGATATTGGCATATTTTATGGATGTTCTTTTACCTTCTGAAAATACTGTTGATGCATGAGCAATTTTTACTGTTTTTACTTGAGGCAGATTTTGAGAAATTTGTCCATTGGATAAATGGCGAGATAGGAGAGTAGTAGCCTAAAAATAATACCTTGGGGTCCTTTTTTCTGCAGTCCTTGGTTTTCTTTCTTGACATGTTGCTCTCTGAAAATGGTGCCTTGCATATAGTGGGTGCTCAATAAATAGTTTTTATTAGACTAATTGTGAATGTGCCCTGTTCACGTATCCGTGCTACATTTCAATTCAGTACCAAAGAGGTAAGTTATTAATGAATATTGGAGATTGATAATACGTTTCAAATAACCAAATGAGGCAAAGTATATGTCCTGTATTGCTGATACCTTAAAATTGTGAAAAATATTCCTCTCTAATGAAAACATGCATTATATTTGACATTTTGTCATTTGTGCATCTTAAAAGTAACATTCCTTTGGATTAAAATTCTTTTGGTTTACAGGTATAATTTTAGTTAGAAAATTGGTTTGAAATGAATACATATGCAAATGCATTTCAAGTATGATCACCTTTTAATAGTCATAAGTAATATAGTGACTCATTTTTTGGTGTGAAACAAAAATATTTAAATTTCAGCAGAATGACAGTTGAGCTTAGATAATGGGTATCAATTGAAACTAGGAGATAACTATTATATGATGAATAGATATAGACTGTGAGTGAAACAGTGGTAATCCGGCTGTGGACACTTCCTATATTATCTGGCAAATAGATGCAGATCTTTTCTCCTCCTAGTTTTGGGGCTGATAGCTATTTTCTTCCTTCCTAGTAGTTTCAAATTAGGTCAGTATTCAATGTTTTTTCCCACCTTGATGCCTCTTTTTCTCTTTTCCTCCTCTCCTCACTCTTCCCCCCCCCCCAATTATAGAAGAACAAGTTACTGGAGATGATACTTGCATAAAATTAGTTTCAAAAATATTCACTCCCTTAGTTTGCTGATGACTTAATTTTTTACTAAGGCCCAATCACTTTTACCTTAGAAGGTAGTCTGGATTCTGCATTAAATACTGGGAGTTTTTATTACCACTTATTTTCCATTAGTTACACTAAACTAGAGAATATCAGTCATTAAAGATTTACATTCATTAAGTACATCTTATATGCCAGGTGTTGTGCTAAGTGCTAGGGATAGAAAAAGAGGCAAAAGTCCTAGCACTCAAGCTTAGTCTAATGGGGGAGACAACAAGCAAACAAACACAAACAAGATATGTACAAGATGAATAGGAAATAATCAAGGGAGAGAGGCAGTAGAATTAAGAAGGGTTTGGAATGGCTTCCTGTGGATGGAATTTTAGTTGGGACTTAATGGAAACCAGGGAAGGCAGTAGGCAGAGATGAGGAGGAAGTGCATTCCAGGCAAGGGGGACAAACAGAAAATGCCCTTATGTACACTTTAGTTTTTTAGTGGGCATAATCTCCTGTGTATTATTCCTAATGGTATTCACTTCTACTCAGAGCAATTAATATATATGTGTGTGTGTGTGTGTGTGTGTATATATATATATATATATACATACATATATATACATACATACATATATATATACATATATATGTATGTATATATATGAGACAGTGTTACACCATGTAACTACTATTGAGTGTTCTTACACTGAGTGACATACTACTGAGTAGTGTTAAGTGAGAAATAATTGTGTGGGCTTATCTAATATCTTGGACTCTTATTACATGTGACTGATTAGCAGTGGTAATTTGCTGTTTCTCCATTACATTCAGATTGTGAAATGTCTAACAGTGACATTTATTTATTATATTGAGAAAGTTTACCAAGTTCATTACAAAAACCGATACCCAATTCCTCCACAAAGTCCTTTTTCAGTGCCGTCAGCATGTTGTGGTCATGAACGTGCAAACTTTAGCAGCTACAATGCTTGAAGGGTTATGAGTAATCTAAGGCAAACACTGCTTTCAAAGTCTAACCTAGATAGGCACAGAATGGTTTATCACCAGTGGGCTGGATGTGTGGTGATGAATTTATTTGACTGTTGAGCCATGAAACACAAAAATCTAAAATAGCCTTCAATCCTACACAATCCCTTCCATGTCACCATACTGGTGGCAGAATAGAAAAGGATGCTAAGAATCACAAGTTTTAGATCTTCAATGAGTGTTCATTGTGCACTTGAAATTCTGTTGATATCCTCTCCAATGACCAATGAGAGCATACTAGTGAAGGAGACTATCAATCTCATAAAACCAGAAGACAAAAGGAAAGTGTGCCAAAATAAAAGAATGAGTTATATGTATTTGTTAAAAGGGATTTGTTTGTTTTTAGTGGGAGGAGGTAGGAGGGAGATAAATGCTTATTCATTGAAAAAACAATTTTAAAGCATGTAAAGGAATTGGCAGATTTAATTTTAGACAATATTTCAAGAGATAATTGGTTATGTCATGTTCTATTCATAATTTTAAAAAAAATTCTACTAGTGTAATTGTGTGAGTGACCTGACATGACCTAAAGTCACTAGTAGGAAAGGAACATACTTTTCCCTATCCACTAAAGCCTTTATTTTGTCTTTAAAATTGCCTCTCCAATTGTGTTTATTCATGACAAATGCACCCATACATTTATATTGACATGGACCCAGCCTTTCAGTTTTTACTTTTCCCTTTTTGTCAGATCACAGTCCCTGAAGGCCTAGAAAATGGTTAATTGGGGTGGGGATGTGGGTAGGGGAGGGAAACAGGGAAGAGAGACGTGGTTTGGGGCTGGACTCTTATAAGTTCAGAAAAAGGCCTTTTGAGCAGTTTAAGAGAGCCAGTGGGCACAGTGGTCCTCAGGGGCAGAGGCTTCCTGAAGAGTGAGAGAAATGGACAAATATGAGGGTTGTGGAGCTAGGAATGACAAGATTTGGCAGTTGAAGTGTGGGGTGAATAAACGCAGCTAATAATATCACAGAGGTAGTGAGCCACAAGGATGGTGGTGTTCTAAGCAGAAAAAGGAGAATTCAGAAAACCTTGATCTTGCTACACAGACATGATAGCCAAACTTCTTAGCAGTTTTTTTTTCCAAAGCGTGGTCCCTAACCCACTCGAGGACTGTGGCATGACCCCAAAGGGTATTTGATTAATTAGAGTGGAAGGATAGAGTCACATCTCACACTGCCTGAGGCAGTCAGTTCTGGGTGTCTCCAGTGTGTCCCCTATATAAATCACATGTGCCCTTTACAAGTCAAGATGCTCTAGCAGAGGTTCCCAAAGTGGGTGATACCTCCTCTGGGGGACACTGGAATGATGGGGGAGGGGGTAGTGGTAGCTTCTTGCGTAATAAGGGGGCAGTGGAAGCATAAGGAAAGAAAAGACAATTTTGAAAAACCGTTTGTACATGTTTCATCTGTTGTATAACAGTTAAAATCATAGTGATGACATTATTTTCCAAATAAACATACAACATGCAAATTATAACCTATCATTGGTCAAGTCCACCAACAGGTCTTAACGAGCAGTTGTTGGCAGGCTAGCATGTTGTACATTGTCTTGGAAGAAATATGTGCATGTAATGACTTGTTACAATATGATACTCTATGGTTACCTGATGTAATATTACATCAACAAAATTTCAATGCAGGAAAAATACCTACAAATTTACAACAAATTATTAAATTTAAGATGTATCATTTAACATGTGTGTGTATGTATAGAAATGATGCAAATTACAAAAAAAAAAACCTGCTAAAGGATTAAAGAAAGTAGTTTTCCAGGGAGGTGCTGACTAATTTTTTTCAAAAGGGGTCAGTAGGCCAGATAAGTTTGGGAACTGCTCTAAGGGAA